ATCTAAGGTCAATTTTTGAGAAACAGGAAGCACCCTGAAGCTGATCAAAAAGATCATCGATTCTAGACAGAGGATACTTATTCTTGATAGTAACCTTGTTCAACTGACGGTAATCTATACACATCCTAAGGGAACCATCCCTCTTTCTCACAAATAAGACCAGAGTTCCCCCAGAGTTCCCCAAGGTGAGACACTTGGTCGAATAAAACCCTTATCTAAAAGATCATTTAACTGCTCTTTCAACTCTGTTGGTGCCATTCTGTATGGCAGAATAGATATAAGACGAGTATCTGGAAGAAGATCTATACCGAAGTCTATCTCTCTCAGGAGGGACTCCGAGAAGATCATCAGGGAAGCCTTCTGGGAACACTTTTACTACTGGAACTGACTGAATAGGAGGTACCTCAACACTTGAGTCATTAACTCGGACTAAGTGATAAACACACCCCTTAGAAACCAACTTCCTTACCTGAAGGTACAAAATGAAACGACCCTTAGGCACTACTGAACTGTTTTTCCACTTTAAGACTAGCTCATTTGGAAACTAAAACTTGACTACTCAAGTTCTACAATCAACTGAGGCATAACAGGCATGAAGCCATTCCATACCAAGAATGACATCAAAATCTATCATGTCTAACTTAATTAAATCAGCCATGGTACTCTTGTGATTGACGAAAATGGGAAAATCACGGTAGACTCTCTCTGCTAGAATAGACTCACCAACATGCGTGGAAACACTGAATGGTTCACTAAGTTGTTCAGGAATAACATCAAAACCCATAGCTACATACGGAGTTAAAAAAGGTAAACTCGCTTATGGGTCTAGCAAAGCATAAACAGTAAAGCAAAGACTCAAATCATACCAGTGACAACATCTGGAGAGTTTATTGCTCTAGACGACTAGTGATTGTATAAAGGCGATTTGCTCCTCTGCCAGTACCGGAAATAGCTCCTCTAGGTGCAGCCTTGTCTGGTGGAGCAACTGAAGAAGACTGGGCTCTATTGCCCCCATTACTATTTCCCTACCTGTTCTTTGGACACTCTCGCATGAAATGCCCATTTTGACCACACTTGAAACAACCAGTGGAGCCCTCATGACTAGTAGCTTAATGGTTCCTACCACACTTGGCGCATGCAGAAGGCTTACTACCCCCTTGTGCCACGCTACCCTGAGAATAAGCAGGTTTAGCTCTGAAATTTTAACTATTGTACTCACATTTGTTCTTAGGTGCAGGTGCACTAGCAGATGATGGAGCAAGTCCCTTCTGTTTCTGTTGGAAGGATAACCGGTTGGCAATACTCTTCTGCTGCCCGGACTTATTCCCTGTGTTAGCCCTTTTGTTCTTAAACTCTTCTTTATCCCTCAGCTGGTCATCCTCAACTTGTTGCACATGGATCATTAGTCTTGCTATGCCCATGTAACCTATTAGCATGGCTGCCTTACTTTCCTTACTTAACAACAAGTCAACCCAACAACGAATAAAATCATTTTGCTCCTCATGTCGTCAACCATCTCTTTGCTTCTCTTAGATCACGGGGAAAGAAATGCCCCATGAAAGCACTCTCAAAACAGTCCAACTCACAAATAGTTACGCATAAGCACGAGTTAGAAAGAAACTTTTTAGAGATAAAATCTAACACATGAAATGAATATGAAAGAAGTGAAGGAATTCGTAAATGTTGCAGCCTCCTAATTATAGATGTGGCCCGCTTCACACCGATTAATAGGACTCTACAAACACAGCTTCATAGACTCCCTAGGACTCTTGAACTCTATCGTTTGATACCAAGTTTGTCACGCCTCGAGCTTACACGCTGGACGTGGTTGGCACTCGAGATCCATTGATGGCCTCAAGCGAACCCTTGGCGTGGCATACTACCTTAGCGGAAGACTATATGCAATAAGAAAGGAATTCAAATGCTAAACAACTTAACTGTCTCAAACTGAACTCATAATGTTTTGAAAATAAACATTTAACTTAGCCAAAATGGCAATTCAAATCTGAACATAAGTCAATAACAAAATGATGACAAATGAACTAACATCTGACTGACTATCTATGAAGCCTCTAAAACAACTTAGATGGATGTTGGGACAACCCCACAACATCCTAATGAACTAACTAGAAAGCAATGAAAATAGATCCTCAAAAATGCAAGAAGGCTCACCGACTAACTCTAAACTGCTCACTGGATCAACGGTGCGCTGGAATGTCGATCCTAGTTACTTGTGTCTGCATCATAAGATGATGCAGGCCAACTGGCATTAGTACATTAAATATACGAGTATGCGAGTTGGAATGCTAAAACAACAGAGGCTTGAAAGGGAATCTGAAAGAAATAGTTACCTTGGCTCTTCTCAAATCATGAATACTTAACTTTCGGGGGTGCGGAATTCATCAGTGCGGAATTGCTTTATTTAATTTTATTTGACCTTTTGGTAGTGTGGTAGGTGAGTAATTCATGATATTTTTGGTATTTTTGGTAGGTGTACCATTTTTGGTAGGTGAGGAATTCATTTTATGTTTGGCTAAATATTTTATTATAATATTGTTTTGCTAAGTGTCTTAATCTTGATATCTCTTTAATATTATTTATGATATATTCTAGATATAACATATCTTGGGTTCTTAGATACATATATAAATTTTCCTCCATTAATTGTTCTAATATTTTTATATCTTCCATAGATTCTGTCCAATATTGTAAATATTCGTAGTTCATTTTAATCTGAATTTATTTCTAAATCATACCATTCTATTCTTTCGAGGTCTAAATCATGTAGGTCTATTTCATACCATTGTTGGTTTAATATATCCTCTGATTCGT